AAAATTCAAAAATGTACACAAATCGTCTGCAGAGTAAATATTAACAACGTGAGACAGATGCCAAAAAATTACAACTGTGTACTTTTTGAAAAAACAAACAAACAAGAAATGAATGTAGCAAAATTTTGTTGTTTGTCATCCTACAGAGTACATTTAGCGCTATCTCAACCACAGTTTAAGACGGTTTTGAGCAATTCTTGTTTTTTATACTTATTATTTCACATATTCCACTCAATATTGTGCGAAAGTGTCAAGAAAATATACATGGCATTAATAAAATAACTAACTACGGAGAACAAATTTCATTGGAAGGAAAAATCTCTATATTATAAACTTGAATGAATAATATACCTAAAATCGAGTAATTTGAGTAATCGAGTAAACAGAAAGAGTAAATGATATCATTTCGATAATATAAATACTTTCCACTTAAAATAATTTAAATATGAATTTTGTAAACATTGGTGAAATTTTTTAAATAACATTTTGGCGAGAATTTTTTAATTTTTAAACTGATAAAATTGGATTTAATTTTTTTCACTATCGTCTACATTGTTTAAAAATCTGAAAAATATACATTACAGAGTGTTACAACAGACATTCTAAAGAAAAAAGGAAATAGTACTACAACGTTATCACGTTGAAAATATTCTTCAATTTTTTTCTATTTGAATTTAGCGTCAAAATTGGTTGACAGCATGACTTTCAAATTTAACTACTTTTCCCCACCTCTGCAATTTTTTTCAGTTTGATACATACAATAAACGTTGCGAAAAATAAAACATGAAAAACACGTGCCTCTTTATCTCTGCAACAGATTGCCTTAGGAGACTGATTTTTTGGGACTCTTCGGACATTTTTTATTCTATTTCATATGAGGATCGCGATTGTGGGGGAATAATGTCGAGCAATAAGAGCAGAATGTGCAATTACGGAGAGCGTCTTTCATCGATGGAAACAGCCAAAAATTCCTAGGAGCCAGGTCAGGTGAGTAGGGAGCTTGAGAAACCACTTCAAAGTTGTTTCCAGGGAGAAACTCCCGAGTCGATTTCGTCCGATGCGCTGATGCATCGCTTTGGTGAAAAAATTGCACATGCAGCCACCTCGGGCCGTTCTCTTACAATGCTGGAAGGAGCTTGTTCACCAAAACATCTTCGTAGCTCGTATCTGTCACCTGATTCATCCATTGTCACAATTGTTAGAAATAAACCCCCCTTCAATGCATCATCTTGAGCCAACATGATGTTCGGTTTTCTTTGAACTTCCGCAATTACGAACGCACTTTCTTCGCATTCGAGACACCATCAGCACACGCCTCACTCAACTGGCGATGAATTTCAATGGGGGTCACACCACGAAAGTAAAGAAAATAATTATTACACGCTGTTCTTGCAAACGAATTAAAATGTCGCCAATTATAGTATCAAAATCACTTCTCACTCTCACCGCAGAAGCTAGAATTCTCTGAACTTGACAGAACTGCCAACTCTATCACACACACACAAAAGGCACCCCAGTATTTTCAGCAAGTCGCATCTTTCTATCTGCTCCCAGTCCTGACAAAAAATTCGAATCCTTAAAACTTGAGCGCACCTTTTAGGACTGAAGAAATCAAGTATTCATGTCAGATACGATCATCTGCTTGAATTAGTGGCGACAAAACTACTTATTGGTATTTAATAACCAACTACAACTCAAGAAAAAAATGATGTTGGTGTTTAAGACGTTAACACACACAAAAATACAATAAAATAAAAAACGTAATGATTTAATCCCGCTACTAATATTTTTCACAAATACAAAAAATATATTTCAAAAGTTTAAAACTATTAAATTCTTTCGAAACGTAATAAAATGTTATTTCATTATTGTTAGGTTTATTTAATATTCTTGCTCATAAACTTTTGCCGGAATTGCGCGTATTTCGTGTGTGGCACGGCACTACTTCCCATTCTTTTCGTGAATTCTGCCAGGCGCAAACCACCCGACGCCAGCGAGGTGCGGAGGCGAACACCGTCACACGTGGATAAAGCGACCGAAGGAGCCGCGTTCCACCCCGATGCGCCCGCTGTCTGTGGCGGCGATCACTTACACGAGAACACGCGTAAGCGCCTCGGCTGCAGGTCGCGAGCGCGGACGAAACTGCAACTACGCGAAAAGCGTCAAAACTCTTGCAAGGCGCACACTTCTTCCCCTCTCCCCGCTCCACCCCTCCCCTTCCTCCTTCCACACAGCGCTCGCCCGCCGCCGTAAACGCGAGAGGATTTCGCTTCCAGCGCCATTTTATGAACACTTTGCACTGACAGAAAAGGACTGTAAAATTCCGCCGAGAAGGGCCACCGGCTTTTTGTGGACGATAAATTCCAGAGCCGCATATGCAAGAGCCCGTGCTACAGGCGTCGCGTGAAGGTTTCGCCGCGAATCGACGGAGGTCGCTGCGGCGGGCGCTGTGGGGAGGTGCTGAGGTAGCCGAGGTCTTGTTTAGCTCTTGTCTTGTATGCTGATCGTGTGCGTTTGACCTGCGTGCTCGGTATACATGTGAGAGGATCTTTCAAAAATCCTCGGTTAGTGATGATAAAAGAGCTATTTGCTCGAGAGCTCCTGCAGATATATTCTAGAGTGCGTCGCAGGGCATGTTCTTATTATGATTAAAATATTTAAGACTATTAAATGTAGTCTTAAAAAGTAATCTACAAATAAGAAAAACGTTTACTCAAATTTGTTTGAAGTATTATGTAGTTGTTATAATATTTAAGTTTATTATTATAAAGAAAAGTGCAAGAAGCTTTTAACGTGAAAAATATAGCCTACAATTGTTTTTAACGTATTGCAGTTCAATCACATACATTTATTAGGGTGGTTACAAAATGATAAAAAAGTTAATCTTATTCCAATGTGTATACATAATCATTTAAATGCACTTATTCTGAACGAATTTCGACCAGGCATTTTTTCAGTTTTTCAAACATTAATTGTTATTGATACCAGTATTTCGATTAAGAATGGAATGGGTATGAAAAAAAGTATTTTCCTAAGTCTAAGATTTTGATGTTTTTTTGTACTAAAAGAAACATCATTTGATTTTCTGGATTCACCAAATTAGTTTGTCTTAAATTAACAAATCAACTTATCACTTCAGACATTTAATAAATACATAATACTATTTTTTCTCTTCTTTATAATGAAATGTATTAGCAAAGAATGAACGAATATTATTTTTCTGAAGGTTTCTATCATTTCCATATGAAAAAAAACTTTACACGATTTGCAAAGTATGTTTTACAAATTGGTACGTGTCATTTATTACAGTAAAATATAGTTATGCCTAATGATTTGATTTATATTGATAATATATTTCTCGACATTTAATAAATTATCGCCTTACATATAAAATCGTGCACGGCAATATTTTTATCATGAATGTTCATAAACTTTTACTGTGATATTTTTAAAATTACGAATAATTACTTCTTGTATTCTGTGCATTTAATTTCAAATCAAATATCTAATTAAATAAAAGAATGTCAAAATAATGATGTAAATAAATGTCATTGAGTGTTGAAAGAATTATAGAATTACATCGCATTTTGGTGGTAAAACGTCTCCACGACCCTCCATACTTTACCTTTTGCTAAATAAATAAGTACCTTTGTCGAGGCCACGAGAGTTCGGTCATTATCGTCTTTGGAACACCCAATCCAAACCCTTGTTCAATAATAGGCTTAGTTCGTTGCATTTATTATTTACTGTACTGCCAGTTACTACATCTGTTAGCTAAACATGGGTCGAACGAATGTTTTTCATTAATTGGCGATTATAAAGACGTGTTCCGAATTATCACAGAGAAATGGTGGACTGAGAGGCAGAAGAAACGAACAAGGATCTAGAAAACCTGTTGCAAGGCTTCTTTTTCCACTCCAAATTGAACGCTCATTTCCCAAGTGTCGTACCTATATATCTATTTACTTTACAGTTTTACTTATAAATATATTCTCAAGACGCTTCTCCATCTTGCTTTCAAATAACCTGCTTACAAAATGGTTCTCATACATTAAACAGCATCCGAATGCCATTGAATCGTAACTTGAACTACAAAGCTGATTGTGAATACTTTCTTTTTCTATTTTTTTCTCATGAAGATACTTTGGAGAAACGCTTTTTCATATCTACCCGGATCAACGAGTTGCGAACCCCGGCCCCCAGCGATGGACGACGAGTCAGCGGCACGGAGCGAACGGCGCGTCAAATATTCCACTCAACACTTCCTCTGCGTCTCTCCTAAGTTAAATGGTATCCGAATATCGCTGAAAATTACCTTGATCTGTAAAGGTAAATGTGAATACTTTCCATCCCTAAAAATATTTCATACGGAGACGTCAGTTCGCAAACAAGCTCTTTAATTACATTTCACCCTGAGAAAGGTCAAAGCACGACGGAGGAAACGTTCTGTGTCAAGGACGCGGCGTCTCCCGGACAGCTTCAGACAGCTCAGAAATGATCTTTGGCCGCAGAAAAAACTTCTAATATATATCGAATAAAAATAAATAATAAATAAAAGATTTATAAATAACTAAATATTACGTGTTAATCATAGAAATCTGTTGAAATAAACATTATATAAAATAGTAAAGTTTCGACAACGAAAATAGTTAAAAGTTCATCCGTAAGAGATTAAAAACATGGAAGTTTCTGCGTAAGAAGTTTGTCCTCTGGAAGTTTCAAGTTCAATTCCACACGGGTCGACAGACGTGAACCCGGTGGAAGTAAGGGAGGTGTCTTCGGGACCGCATATTGTGCTCAACACTTGCGTCCTTTCTAGGTCAAAAGGTATCATTCAACTCTAAAGGTTGTTGTTGTTAGCCAACGCCCACCCTTGGCATGTTACGCGCCGACCAGTACAGACTTTCCCCTCGGAACCGCACATCCAGAATGGCCAAGCGCGCAGGCTGCTCATTTAGCGTCAGCCCGTCGCGTCGGCTCGCGACGCCCCGTGGACTGACCTGCATGTTGCAGATCTTGTGGCGGATGTCGTCGCCGCGGCAGCCCGAGGGCGCCTCGCAGCGCCGCAGCTGGAAGGCGGCGCCGCCGTCGCAGGAGCGCGAGCAGGGGCTCCAGTCCGACCACGGCGACCAACCGGGCACCGAGCGCGCCGCGCCGCGCCGCTCCGCGCGCTGCTGCTGCTGCGACACACACACGTGAGGAGCGTCAGCGCTTGCCACACACGTGCCACGCAAGTGACGCTTCGGACCAAACGACATTTGGCTATTCCACTATTAAGCTTGTTATTATGCATACCTTCCCGTTAAGAATAAATGTTACAAACTTCTTGGACAGAGAATCGAAGATAATTACGTTTGGTCGATAAATAAGTGGTACGAACTCGTATTAAAAAGTTGAACATGACACACGACGCCCCTGATTAGCCGGCTACTCATCCTGCACTGGTGTTTTGCAGGTATACGAACTTTCAGAGAACTACAAAAGTTTCTACGTTTGTAGGTCACTAGGTTTGGTGCATGCGTGGCAAAGCCTGACGTAATAAAAGCTGAACAGCAAATAATAAATACTCCATTTTTTCATTGCTTGTAGGCAGGTTGCTATAGAGAGCTGGAGTACGTGCCGAACACCAGTGCGCGATGAGATGTTTACCAATCAGAAGCGCCAGGTAATATAGTAAAGTGTGTTATATGACCTATTGTTATATATTTTACACCATCTGTTACCGAACAAATGCAATGACTAAGAAGTGAAGAACGGAAAATAATCTTTGCCAGACTTCTTTTAGCTGTGTTGTATACACAACAACACATCATTTAAGCAGTTGTGAAAAAATCTTACAATATAATTTTGGTAAAGTTATCAAACACTAGAGTAAATATGTGTAAGGGGTGAGGATACAACGGGGAAGGGGAAGGAAAGATATCGCGTGGACCGTTTGTTAGGGTGCTGTTTCGGCATTCGCTTGGTATTGATCGGAGTAACCACGGAAAAATACCGATCACAGTAGCCGGCCGCTAGAATCCTTCTCCAGACAGCGACAGAATTCGACCTAGCTGTTGATTTTGATTAAACAGAACAATCAGTTACCAGATGGTAAAGTGCGTAAAATATGGCATAAAATCACAGAATGATCATAAAGTACTAGTATTATCAGGTTCATGAATGAGATAAGTAAATTAAGTACAATCAATAACTAAATGAAAGTATTAACAAACAGCAGAAGACTACATTCTATTCAATTTTAAACAGCTACAAAAATCGTATAGAAAAATTAAACATTATTCTAATTTCATTTTAAATGTTTTTTAGTAATTACATATATTACATACTGATTTTGAATATGTCTCATCTTACCAAGGAAAATACCCTATTCATTATTTTAATGAAAAAAAGTAATTAACTTCGGAATATGTTTACATTTTAGTTACTTATTATTTCAGTTAATTATTTCATACAACTACGTAAAACTTGGATAAACACACGAGGCATAAAATTATTCAGATGAGGAGCAACGCTTCCACTTCATTCTCAAAAAATGTGAATTATCCACCGAAAAAAAGAACAGTTGGAGTATATAAGATCTGTAATACTGTAACAAGGAAACTTGTATCACAGGTTTACTCCAACGGTTCTTTTCCTTCGGTGTCCGTCTCCCGCTAGGTCCCCACTGACGTCCAGCAACGTCCGTCGAGCCGCATCCACAGCCTTCGGATTTGCACCTGCCGCCTCCCCACCCGGGCGCCGGGGCGGGCGCCGGGGCGGGCGCCGGGGCGTCGGGGCGTCGGATCAGCGGCGACGGATCCCCCGGGCGCCTCCGCGCGCTACCTGCCGCGCCGCCGCCGCAGCTCGGCTCATTAATTTGCCGCAGCGCCCGCGCAAGTTTGCAACAACTCTGAGCCTGCAGTGCGGGCGCCCCGCCCCCCCCGCGCGGCGACGACCGGGCGACGTCCAACTTCCGGTAACTCCCTCGCGTCGCCGGCCCGCCCCGCCCCCCCGCCCTGAGGACGCGTTTTATAGTTGCGCCGGCGTCGTTTTTGTGGAGGGTTTTCGAGGGGGCGCCGGCCCCGCATTGCGACTTCCGAGTTGTGGAAAGGGGTCGGCTGCGTTCAGAAAGGGCCTGGGCGGAGCGGCGCGAGCTCAATCAAGTTTTCAGGTCCTCTGAGGCAGAGGCCGCGCGAAAATGTATTTCGGAACATGTGAGAAGTTTGCAATGTTGAATGCACGTGTCCCATGCAGTACTGCAATTGTAGTATCTAAAATGTAAATACTAGTGATGCTGAGAGAGCACATACTTTCTCATATTCTTTCTTACTTTTACAATTTTCGAAAACTCAAGAGAGTTTAACGAAAATGAGAACTTTCTTACTTATTTGGGCCTCTCTTTTTTATGTTTGAAAAAACAATTGTTCATTCTTTATAGATATGACAATTATGCACATTTTATAAATGCGCAATATTAAGCGAAACATAAAAAGACACACATAAAAGTGCGCAAAATTAAGCGAAAGAAACTCACATTTTCTAAAAACGGTTTTTCAAGATGTTTTTGAAGAAAATATTTTATTAAGGAAACAATCCTAATCATAAATGCATTAGTTATAGGAAGAGGACGCAAAGATTTTACACTTTTACAACTTTCAAAAAATTGGCAAAACAATACAGTTTCATTATGAAATTATATTTAGATCTTCAATGGTTTGCGAGGTAGTGACTTTCTATCAGCAAAATCTTTTACTTGAATTTAGATTTAGTGTTACGTTTGGGCAATTTTTTCTAATATTTAATCTGATCTCGTGGAAAATGACAAATGTATCATAATGAAATCATCGATGTATCATTTTGATCGTATTCCTAACATTATAATTATGTTGAGATAAATTAAAAAATATTAACGAAGGTATTTTTCGAATAAAAATAAAAAAATAAATAAAAATAGTTACAAATAACTAAAGATACATGTTACAATGTTGTAATTATAAAAATGCGTTGGTTTCACCTGAAATTAACATTATATCAAATAGTAAAATTACGACTACGAAAATAGAGACTCATCTGTAAAAGAGTCAACCACTGAAGTTTCTGCTTAGGAAGATTTTAAAGTTCAAGTTCACAATCACTACTTTCATGGAAGGGATGTTTTAGATATTAGTACATTCATCTTTGTTCAAATAGTTTTGAATGACTACTTAAGGCATACACAATCTGTAAGCTGTTTCTACAGCTTTTTTCACTGTTTCCGTAACAAAAAGATAGCATTCCTCGCCAACTGATTAAGGTTTAAAAGTGTGGGTTCAATGCGATAGAGGGGTAACATTTATTGAATCCAATCCATTAAATAATAGCTTCCCATGTACATTGTACAACTTGCTATCCTAAAAGGCTCTCATTAATATGAAATGAGTCAAATTATAAAGCAGAATGAAACCGAATTTCGCACTTTAATTTTTGACACATCTACAGAGCTATTACGATTTGTTATATTGAAATTCTGCATTACACAAAATTAATTAAAATCCATCCTGCCCCTAATGAGAGAGGTGATTACGGGTGTGAAATTTTGCAGTAGGCCCATCACAGACCATGAATGGTCTCCTATTACATTTCCAAAACTGAACCGAAAGTCATTATAGGAAAATTGACCCTTCGTTCTGGTATATCGTGAAATTCGACAATTCAGAGGTATTGATTCTTCACATATAGATAAGAGCCTCTAACGATCGTGGTTCATTGAAAATCGCAATGCAATAATTAAAAATATGATTTTCACATTGCTACTCTAGCATAGTGTTTTGTGAAGATAAGTTTTGGAAATATATTAAATTTTGGAAAAAAACAGTATTCTCATACTAAGGAATCATTTTTCAATAATTTTCAGCACAAACTCTACTCTTTTGCAGATATAACAAAGGAAACTATTCTATATGAATTATGTTAATCTATCTCTTATAATCAACTAGCGGACCCGGCATTGCTTCGCTATTGCAATGTAATACACTTCACATGCTACTGGTCACGCGATTGTTAATCACGTTTTATGCTACGCTCTGTAAAAAATTTAATAGATAAAATACTTTCTCGTGAGTATGGGTTTGGTCTGTCCTAGTTTGGACATGATTGTCAAGTTGTTCTATTGTTAAAATGTGCTCCTTCAAGTTTCGGCATGCATTCGCTCTGACATTATTTTGAAGATTTTGATTTACTTGTCGGAAATAACGTTCAAGAAATAATATCGGCGGATATTTCATAATCGCAGGGGCCGAATATGCAACAAAGACGCACTTAATACTTGAGGGTGCGGCGGGTTGCATAAAGCTTATATTTAGGGGCGTTCGAGTCAAACAAATCAACAACGCAACCTTTTTGCGTTTATGTCCGGCACACATTCATACATTCCTATTGTAATATGCCGGTACTCTTCGTGCAAGTGAACTGCAAGCGATAAGTTAACAAAGTATTATCGCAATCGATATGATGCACGGTACGAATCGCATTAAAAATGAACAAACATTGATTTTTATATACTAGATGATGAGTGTTGCAGAGTATACATTCCAAAAGTCTCGTCCGCTAGCTCAGAACTATTACAAGGAACGAAGAATCGTCGGCCGCTCATTTGCTATTCCTGCAGTACGAGGCAGTTAGGGCATTGCCTGGAGTGTGGGCATATCGAGAGCTTTCAATCCAATTGCCCTAGGACCCGAACGACCCCCTCCACACGCGCCAGCGGTAATTGGCCACTCGAAGCTGAGCTCGAACGGCGCTCTGGCTTAGCCGCCGGCCCTCCCCGCCGGCCAGCCGCCAAACGCGGTGGGCTCTTTCAGTCGGCGATTGGTTGATATTCCGGTCACGCCAACTGCTAGGGTCATTAGCCCATGGTCGTGCTAGCGCTGTAAAGGTTTATTAATCCCTGGATGTGGCGTTGTTCCTCTCCCGCAAGATGTTGAGATTCGGAGCCCATTGCTTTTGAGAGCATCTCCCCCAGCGAAGACAAGCTCTGCGCCCCAGACATGAGTGGTAGTGTAAAGCATGTTAGTGTTTGTGTGTAAAGGGTGATGACAGGATAAGGAAAAGGATGGAAAGTCCGCATGCGTTCCGTAGTCCGTCTTTACTTTTTGTTTCACTTGTTTTCTTTTTTTTTTATTATGTACAGTAGTACCTTGGTGATCCGGAATAATTGGTAGTGTGGTCTCTCCGAATTCGGAAATGTTCGGATTATCCGAAAAAATGTACCGTTCATATAAAAATATATCTATAAGATTACTACACAATGTTACTAAGCGTGGAATGTGAGAAAATGAAAACGTTGCGTAGCGATCGTCTTATCATATCATCACGTCGCATCATCAAGCAGATTCGAAAAAATATTTTGGAGGTTTATTTAAGTTGAAATTATTGCAACATAAATGTCATATTGTTGCCAGTTCAATAAACGTTTCATTTAGACAACTTGTTTTTCAATAATTAGTTGTACAGCTCTACAGCAATTACAAAATCCTTTCTTTACACATAAACATTTTATTTATTTTGTTTACTTTTCCTCCATCCTGAATTTTTATTCTTATGACAACAACGGATGAAGGAAGGAACGCAATTTTAAAGACAATTTTATAGACAATTCAACGTATTTTTCGAAGTCTCCCGAATACATTCGCGTCGTCCGTTGTATCCTTTTCCTCCCTGTTATTAGCATTTGTCCTCTTTTCACTCCGCCCTGGCTTCGTGGAGAGAATGTGCACCAGACACGATCGCTGGGAGAGGACTGCGAGAGAAGGAAAGACGCACGATATTGCAATGTCTCCACCACTTCCGAAAATATATTGTAGTGCCTGGGTGCTAAGTTTCGAGTGCCGACAGTGGCAGGGTCTTAACACTAGCTTCATAGCTACGTAGAATTCAGACGCTTTCAGCAGGATAATTCTATCTGCCGGCTGCTCTGATCGGTAGTTTTCCGTCGTTTCTCCAATCAGATCCAGGTAAATTCCTTCCCCTCTTTTCGTTACCCCTCACACTCATTACACAACCACAAATGTCGGGAGACAATTCGAAATCTTTGAGCTTATTTCGTCTGGAGCGGTGTCTCTGTGGTAGGAGATACGCAGTCGGGAAAAACGCCGCAAACAGAAGTGTAGTTCGGCGCCGTGTCTCACCATCTAACGGAGACAGATCATCACCGTCTCTCGCAATAAAAAAATTACACTACACTCATGAGACTAAATACTTCCGTTGACGCGCCCGAAGACACTAATCAATCATTCAATCAATACGAAAATATATAGAAGTAGGGATGCATTGAAAATCCAACTACCCGCCAGCCCGGATCCCTGTAGGCACACTGGTCAGGTACAACCGTCCGTTGTCAGTGTGCTTACTAATTG